CTTTATGATAGCGTCCCCCTGCGTCTACGTCCAGCGCTTGCTCTTGGGCTGGTTGGGGTCGTAGAGAAGGACTTCAAGAGCGGGGTTCTGGGCAACCTTGAAACCTTGAGCACCCTCTTGGGCACCGTTCACCCAGACAACGGTACCGTCAGGGAGAAGAGTTCCCTCAACCATACCACGGCCTTCGGGCATGGCGTCCATCTCCCAGCTGGGGTTGGCATCAAGGGGCTTAATGCGACCGCAGGATGCGTCACCGGGGGCAGTGATATCCTGGTATGGACCACCACCGCAAATGATGATGTCAGGGTGCCAGTTGTTGGTGCTAACCAGTGGCATCATAACGGAACCACCAGTGTTGGGGTAGGTACGGTAGGATCCAGGAAGATCAGCGAATTGACGGACGACACTGCCGGTAGCGACATTGAAGATCTCAGCAGACTTGGCAACCTGAACGAAAACATTACCATCCCTCATGAGATGCATGAATGGGTACATGTAGTAAGGCTGATTCTTCTTGAGGATCTCCATTTCCTTGCTGACACCGCGGGGAGTACCATTGGCATTGAGAATCTCGTAGGTGGGGTTGTTGTTCTCAGGCTTGGTAGGATCAAGACCGTTCTTGCTGCCAGAGGCAACGAAGATGGAGTTGTCAGGCATGATCTGGACCGAGGCGTACCAGCGGGGAGTATCGAGTTGGGTGCCAGGCTCGTCCCAAGCCTTTCCGTCGAGAGAAGCATCAGAAGAGGAACGGGTCAGGAAACGAATACCGCGGAAACCATCACCGACAGTGGGATCGAGGAAATCCAGAGGAGCGTTACCTCCGAGAGAAGCAAAACGGCCATCAGCAAGGAAGATACCACCAGAGCAGAAGGCGTTGGTCTTGTAGGCAAGTGGAGTCAACTTCTGGGTAACAGGATCATACTCGGAAGAGTAAGCGAACTGGCCGTTGGGAAGCTTCATTTCCGTGTAGTTTTCGACCTTGTCCAAGAAGACAACCTTGCCGTTCGGCATAAGTCCAGCGTGCATAGCAGGCACACCTGACCTGCCCTTGATCTCGAGGGTACCGGGCTTAGGGGCAGCAGGAGCAGGGCTAGGACCGGGAGCAGGGACAGTGGCACCGTTGAGGCAAGGGCCGCTTTGGCAGCCTTCACCGCAGTGGGAAGTGGTGTTACCACAGTATCCGTACATCGAGCAGCAAGAGCCCTGAGCCCAGTTACCACAGACAGTGTTGCCGAACTTAGCACCACAGCTGCCATCAGTTGTGGCTTTGCCGTCATCCGTGGGTGTAGTAGCAGGTGTCGTGGGCTTACCAAGCACGGGCTCACCAGAAGTAGTGGACGATGGAGGGCGGGACACAGCAGGAGCAGGAGAGTCGACAGGCTTAGGGGCGGGATTTCCGTCTTTGCAGCCGTTCTGGCAGCCGTTCGAGACCAGACAGTGGCCCTCGGTGCTTCCACAGTATCTGTTACCAGTTAGCAAAGGGTGTTCATGCTTTGTTGATTGTCGAAGATTGGACTCACCCGTATGATGAACAGCAGCCGCCGTAGGGGCCCTTGGCGTCACAAGAGGCTCCGCCGAAATCCTTTCCACAGCGACCGTCGTCACGGGGAGCAGCAGCAGCTGGAGTACCAGCGGTGGAAGGCTTAGGAGCAGGAGGAGCAGGAGTGTCCTTGTTGCAGCCAGACTGGCAACCATCACCGCAGTGGGCTGGTGTGTTACCGCACCAGCCATATGAGCTGCAGCATGTACCGGTGTAGGCAGTAGCCTTGGGGTCGCAAAGCAAGTTTCCATTCGAAGGTCCGCACTTGCCATCGACAGAGTACTTGTTTTGTCTCTTTGCCGGAGCTGGATGGTCGACGAGGTGGGAGCGAGAAACCTTGGAGGCGTACTGGCCCACGACAAGGGCATTGCAAATGTTGTCTATGGTACAAAACTGGCCAGTCAAGCATTTGATCTCCTCCGGTTTCTCGCAATCACAGAGTGGCTGAACCCAGTTCAATGTTATCATGGCCGACGACGTCCCGGCGAGGACGCCGAGAGCGAAGAGCGAGGCCTTCATGGTGTATGGGATCTAAAGGACCAACTGTAAGCTATGTGAAGATGTGGTTTGCTAGATCCATCAAACGACGAGGATCAAGCAAATTTTGAATAGTCGAAGGAATAGGTGTGTAGTGATGAGATCAAGCCGAGGACAATTGAATACCCATTGACAGGTTGTCAAGACAGGGTGGTATCCAGTTTGTCTTGAGATTGCATTGGGTTTGCTGCATCAAAACAGAAAGGAGCGGTTGCGGAGCACACCATAGCAACCATGATGTGTGCGTGTGTGGGCTTGCAGTGTGCGGATCTCGTGGCACCTGAGGATGGGGAAGCAACGTACCAGAAGAGCAGGATTAAGGTATTACTATTTCTGTACACAACCCGATCGGTGGAACCGAGTGTTGTATACGTGTGAAGAGGAGGTAGCTGGAAAGAGTGACAGCTACACACACGACAGTTTGTACTAAACGAGAGACTGTTTTCGTTGGAGCAGAAAAAAAAGGGTGAGTGCTGAGAGGACAAGGGACTTTTAAAGGAGTGCCTTCAGCGACAGAAGTGAGGGACAGGCATCATGGGCTCCGGCAGGGCTAAAGTAACTATGTACCTATTGCGGGCAACGGAGCCACGTTCACGGGAGTCGCTCCATTGTCCCTACGCAGGTCTCGGGCCATAGCTAGTTGCGGATGAAGGAAAACAGGAGGAGGGTTGGCCCTGGGCCCGGCCAATGGAAGGTTTGTGAGGCGCATCCAGTTGTGGGAATCAGGCTTCAGCGGCAATTTTCGTTGGGTGCAGAGCCAATGCAACCCCAGCCACGGTCTGATCAGCGCGGGGATCACGCTTTTGTCGCCCGTCTATTCCTGGGCGCAGGGATTGGCTTGAGAGAGCCGATGTGACGACGCTGGCTCCTCTTCAGCCGGCCAAGCGGCATGCCTTTGCCCTCTTGTATCATCTATCGAGCGACTAGCGAGTCGCCAGTGGAGAATCAAGGCAGCGCGTTCTCCTCAGCCAGCTCGTGTTTGTTCCGCAAGTGGAATCCGTTTGATGAACGTCCCCGGAGGCCGTTCAACCGGCACGCCCAAAGACAGAGGCTTTTTATCTTTGGGCGATGCAAGGCCTTCCAAGGCGTGCCGAGTGCTGTCTCAAGGGAAGGCGAGACGATACCAGGTAGTTAGTGCAGTGCTTGAGAAGGTCAAGCTTCAGGAGACAACCGTACCTAGCTTGACAGCCATCCTTAGAGAATGCAGTGCATCTGCACTATCCCATACCGTAGTAGCTGGTAGCCCTAGGAGAGAGAGAGAATACATACCAGGTCGACGCAGATGAACACATACTCACAGCCATGTCTTCACAGTAGTACACACACACACACACACACACATCTTCCAGGAACAGGACTAGTGTGCTAGGGCGGAGGGCGGTGGGTTGGTGTTACTCAGGGGTACTATATCTTCATAGGTAACAGTCCTTCAACTAGCGGTCACGTGTGCCGAAGGAAACTTCCCAACACCAAGACTTTGTTGTCGCCACAGAAGAGAAATTAAGTACATGCTCTGCTACCTTTGCTAGAGTGCCATGGCCACTTGAAACACAAACGCCCCGCATTCCTCGAAAATGAGAAGAGAAACATCCCACGAGTACAGAATGGTGCATGCCTGTTCATGCGAGAGACAGCCAAGTCGGCGGCGCGCAGACACTGGCAATTGCGCTTCAGCTGCACTCGCAGCTCGTATCTGTTCGATAGGCATCCAGTGTGGTGGCTTTGCGGGGCGGCCTTTCATCGCTTCGTACCTACAATGCGAATTCTTCCGATCAGCCCGTCACTGGACGGGGAAGACGCAACAAGCTTTCTGGGTGAGATGCCGGAGTAAGCCAACAGCCGTCTTCGTCAGCACTCTGTTGAACCTAAAAATGACCTAAACGACAAAGCGTGTTGGTCGTGTTCTCAGACAGGCCTCTCATGGCCCGCTTCCTGCCGGTCTCATCTTGCACGTTTTGGGATTCGGGGCCTTCGTGTTGAAATTGCGAGAACCAGGAGTCCCGAGGTCACTGGACAGCATCCTGCCAATCTCGAGAAGCATATGCCATGTCGGGGGCCATGGCGCCACGTCTGACTTGGTCTCTGCGCCAGCGCCGCCACGGCTTGGACTGCTGATAGCTGAGGTCGAGATGTGACCGATGGCGTCCTCCCCGCTGCAAGCTACACAGTATTTGTAGCATACTTAGTACCTAGGCACATCCTGATCCAGCTGTCAGTGAGTAATACAATACTGTTGTACCTTGGGTAAAGTTGACGCCAGCACCGCCACACCTTCTCAACCCGAGGAGCCAGGCTTGTCTTGGCCTTGTCGCGACACGCGGGGCACGTTGTAACACCGGCTCATGGATAACACACTTCTTCCTCACCCCTGCCATTGCCAGATTCGATTACCAATGTCTAATATAACGGTATGTATACTAAGCTATCTTTATCGACTAGCACTTACTCAGGAGTCGTCATGGCTGCGTCGCACTCGCTTGCCCCGTGGTGCCATGTGGATCTTCGTACATAACCACACGATGAATTTTCGACACTTTAGTAGGGCCGAACGTGCCGAACGCCGTCCCCCGTTCTACTAAACAAACGATGCTGGGTTTTCCCCTTGTGCCCAGTGTCCAACATACTCAGTAGATATCCGCTTGGGAATCCCTATTCGGCCTAGAATCTGTAACTCGGTGGAGAAAAGCGTCATCGTCTCTCCCTCGGCCTCGAGCTTTCACCGATCATATTGTAAAAGCGATGACAGAATGAAGTGGATATACCAGGGCTATTACTGGATTTCCCCCCGCCCCCTTTTTTTCAATTGCACTACCCATCACGTACATATACGATCAAGAAGAGTTTTACGTGAAGAAGATTATAGTGTTGCCTCCTACATACTAACTCCATATGAACACATCTATTAACGTCGTCCCTCTGAATCCAAAGGGCCGAACTCACGACTCGCATATTGGCAACGTCCAATGACGTGACCCTGAATCCTGCATCCTGCGCAATACGAAGCCCCTGAATGGATGATCGGAAAGATTAAATGGATGAACATTGCTTGATTCGTACCTTGGATCTGACCACACTAATCAGGCATACCATGTACATACGATACGGCCTTCTGAATCTATGCTTAAATTGCAGGAAGTCCTGCTGGTGGCTGTGAAGCATGAGCATGACGATGCAATATCTGCATCCGCACTTGCTTTAGGCATCCTGGAGTCCGTATTCGAAGATACTGCGGGAATTCATGCTGGTAGCTGTCAAGTATAGCGAAAGGCATCTGCATGGCGAGTTTCGTTTGGTCCTGCAGCTACTAAGTATAGCTATCCCAAAGTCGACATGCAGAAAATACCATGGCCTACCGCGACATGTCAATGTCCAATGCCGACCATCCGCTTCGTTCATACTCGAATCCTGCCAACACCTCACCCACTCATCCAACAAGACGCATGTAATTGTAGTCTACAAGCGACCTGCAATGTACTAGATCGCCTTTCCTCTCGACGAACCAACACGTGGAATTTGGGTTTTGACAATGAGCCGAAAGTATATCCCCGTCGGCATCATAGACCTCAGCAGTGAGCAGACTGAACCAAAAAGGTAACAAAACGGTGCCAGCTCTACTATGGTAGATCTACACCTACAGTGTACCTTCTTGCTCTCTCGCATGCTACCGTGGCGCTCCAACCACATGATGATAGAGAATATGCATCCCGTTCCCCGCAAACCACTCAGACACTCTGATTGATTGCGATGGTACTATCGTTTGCCGTGTGTACAGATGGACGCAGGAAATGGCGTAATTACGAAGCGTCTCATCTTCATTGATTTTTTGTTTAGCTAGGTACAGGAAGGATTGGCATTAGGATGTATCACAACCTTAATAATTGACACTACACCACTTTCCCGGGCTATTGGTAGAAAGACAGCATGCGCCGAAAACATCTTGCCATGGGTTCGAGTCTTCCTGTGACGGCAAATGTTCATATCTGCACCACTTGACGCCACGCCAAAATTCTCCTTGGCGCGGTTGTTTATCAGGAAATGATAATGGTTTTGTACAGTACGCGGTTGTTGCTCCGGCATCTGGCGTTTGGTCCTTTTGTCAAAGTTTGCAATCCATTGTCATTCCCTGGTTAAATATTTTCTAGTTAGCATACACGGATCTAGTGCTGTACATAGCTTACATATATTGTGGTGGATCATGTTGTCCACAATAATATTTCAAACGCTGGTTTGGCATACTATGGGTCCTTGATAAATCTCGCTTTATGGCAGACTTCGGGCCAATTCCGTATATTCTAATCAGACCGTAACATGTCGTGTTTCCTTCTATATGAGTGATATGACTAGAGTAGAGAACTAGCAAATGGGTTACAGTAGTTGCTGTTGAAAATTAGCACCACGACACCGATCACCAGTGCCTTTGCTTACCTGATCTACAAAATGATCTTTATTAGCTTGCTCGCCAGACTTGCAATTACTGAGTGAGGCGCTGATCCTGATGCCAAATCATCCTTCAATACAAGGTGAGACCATAACGAGCATGGATATACTCATTGGGATCTTTCTAATGCCAAACTCGAGCTCTATACATACGAACTCCATCTTATAGTTGCGATGCAATTATCCATCTCCTAATTCATTCCTAAGCTTCTGATCAATCCTTTTAACACTTGCTTATTGTTACAAAGAAGCACCATTGTAATACGCGGAGAGCCCGCGAGAGCCTCATCCGGAAGGATCTAGGTAGCACATCCTACATAGAGCCCTACAGGACTCTAGCTTAATCCCGTAGCAATTTAGTAATTGATGCACTCACACTAGTATAGGCAGTCGCTTCTTGACTCGTAGTTTTATACAATATGTACATACTAAGTATGTGTGTTCATGGCATTAAACGCTTGTAGAATCTAAGCTTGAATTGCAGGAATTATGCTGGTAGCGTCAAGCATGCGCACAACGAAGGACATCTACTTAGCATATCTGTACATACGTATGCTAAAGCAACGTTTAATGGTATTGTAGCATATTAATCTTACTGTTTACAATCTCATCCATGCTCTATAGTCTACCCCATACCTTACCCAATAAGACATATGTAATGCCTACACGCGGGCTACCATGTCCAAGATCGTATTTTGCTCTAATAACGCACAAGGTTGATCTTTAGACTTGATAGCAAATAGAAAGACACTGCCCATCAGCATCATAATAGTATAGAACTTAACACGCTAAGACAGAGGTGACAAATTACTTCATCACTTGTCCGTCGCACCAATCACATGATAAAAAACCGACAAAACTGCAAGTGAATGATGGGACACACAGCCGTGCAGCTGACATAAAGTTAAGATTCTAGGTACCCATCCACGCTAAGTATAACAGCATGATTCACACTGCTCATACCCCTAGTGATCACTATGGTACGGTGCAACTTCGCCAACACTATCATTACCTACCATAGTCCACCTCCGTTGCAGTGCCCCTCGTACCACACCACTAACATATATAGTATCACATCTATACACCCTCATCGGAAACGGCGTAATTAAAATATGTTATTTCTGATTGTTTAACCATGGGAAGTCTTGGTGTCGGAGTTTGCTATAAAAACCTAACTAATACCTCTAGGCATTACAAAACCCGCCAGACTTTGCACATTTTCGGTCGTATTGGCAGAAAGACAGCATGCGATGAATGCGTCTTTCCATTTTCGGTCTGGTATGTCTGGATGCGCTTTACCCAACCCTTCATATCGGCACCAACCAACATCATCACCCGCCCATAACCCTACTTTAATGTTCCCATCAGGAAATGTTACCCTTGTCTTATGGTCTCCCGACTGAGAACCACAGCAGATTTTTGTTAAAGAATCAACTCGGTTCTCCTTTTCCTCGCACCAGCAAAGCATATCCAATCCATATTCATAAATTCCCAGTTAGCATGCAAGTGCATAGAGTAGAAGTAGAGGAGAGGATGGTACTTATGATAGTAAGATACTTGGGGAACATACAGCATAATCATTGGCCGCCGCTACATTGGCGATGAACAGAACGCAAGTGGGGATAGTAAGGCGCATGGTCGAACGATTGGCAAGGAAGCTCAGGCGAGTCCTAGGTAGTAGGGATAGAGTAGTAGAAAAAGTGATTAAAGACGCGTAAGAAGTGAAGGAGAGATGATAGATTTATACAGCTAGATAATATAGCTAGATCATATCACTAGCGTCTACACGTCTTCATTAAAGATGTATGGTGAGAAGCTGTTTCATCACGATTCTGACGTGAGGTAGTTACCTGTACAGTAACGCCTGGGTGGTGTATTGGCGGAAGTTTATATGACTGTAAGTTTCAAATACACCATTAATTTTTCTTGGAAATGGCGCATTGGCAGCGCGTTAAATGTATCTATACATTGTGCGTACCTTTCTGATTGCACCGCCAGGTGGAACTAGACCTGCATCTTGGCGATTTTGCGATGCAAGGAGATGTTAGGATCGGTTCTCTGATTCGTGTTCGGTGCAATACAATAAACTCAGCCAGCGCTAAAAAAATCCCATATAAATACGTACGAGGCACTTTGGTTTGCGTCTTGGCTTCTTTCCGCATTACCTACCGGTGTTATCGATTTATTAGTGATTTAAGAACAAAATGTACCACAGTACATAGCATTGGTCTGGTCAAAATCGATACAATATGCTGTTGAGCTATGTACCTGAATTTTTCAAGGAGATGAGCTATCTTAGGTATTCTCCTAAAATCCATTTCAGATGGATTTTACGTTCTTTTCATACATACTTTTTTGTATTGTTGGAGCAGCAGTAAACTAGACAGGCTACACAGTGCTAACGCAGTACTCACATAGTAAAAACAAAAAGCAGCTTTCATACAGGGATACAACAATACCACATGTCTCGTTCTACAAAACCTTGAAAAAAGGGCAGAATCGCGAAAGGGATGTCGCGTTGGCTACGGTTTTGGTCCTTGGATCCCGCTGCGGTGTCCCGCGGATCGAAGCGAATTCGTACCCAAAGAGTACCGGTACTGGGACGGCAAGTTAAGCGATGCCAGCAGTATTCAGCAGGCATACGCACGTAGTATCTTGTCCAACGTGGTTCAACATCCCATGTAGTTCGAAACTCCTCCACACAGTGGCACATACACACAGTCACAACCACACTCATCAAGATAGGTAACGGCTTCCAGATACTCAAAAATCCCCTAATTCACGTCCAAAAAGGCTCATTTGAATTTCTTTCAGCTCCGTAACATGCCCCTCATGAATTTTCATTCCACAGAATCTTCCCCTCTCACGCCCCTGGCCATCAGCAACCCAGCGCCAACCCCCGCCCGCCCGTGCGCCAACACACAACCCGCGGCTACCTGCATTGTCGTACGCAGCTCTTGTCAGGCGCTTGGATTTCTTCGGGAAAAGCTGAGAGCGCGGGTGGGTAGCTGCCGTTGATGTGCGGGCCTTGGTACAGGTCTGGTTTGCAGCATAACTGTGGGGTGGGGATGTGTGGTGTTAGGGGTTGTGATTTGTGATGCGGGGTGGGAGGGGTGGTCATATGATGGGTGTGGTAGGGGGTGTTTGGTGGACGCGGGTACTCCGCACACCTAGAAGCGCTAGT